TGGATGGATTTGTGGCTTGCTCTGCTTTATCTGAAAGGTTTTGATACTTTTTCTTGATCATAGATACTCAACTTGATGGCTGAGTCATTGTTGGTACCACCGTCAAAGTTTTCCAGGATCCAGACTGGAAGTCAGATGCGGAAGCAGAAAACGGAGACTTGCTTGGCGAAGATGATGATGAAGAAGATGCGGTGCAAGAGGTAGCAGACGCACCCACCAGAGAAGCATTTAAAGCTCTTCGTGGGTCATACAAGAACACCTTCGAATTTGTCAAGGCACTTTACGCTGACCCTCTTCTGCAGCGTCGCATGAGAATGATCGTTGATGGTTGTGGACCATTGCACTCAGAGTACAAGCTGCAATTGAAGAGAGAATCTGAAGGTCAAGAGTCCATGTTGGCGTTTGCTTGTGAGAGGGCCATTGGGAAGACCTGGTATGGCACTATCTGCGAGACATTTGCACTGGCAACGAGTTCAACAATTACTGACCGGTTGCAGCTCACACCAAATGTATTCAACCAGCCTATGGACATTGATGGCATGGAAGCCGATGATGACTTGAAAACGGAAAAATTACTGCTGTCAGAATTTTTCTCGCTCATAGTGAACCTGGCATCTAACAGAGCTTGGACCCAAGCATTCTATGGACTCACTTTTCCTTTTTGCTGTGCGCGTTTGTTGTCTGCAGAGGGTGCCTCAGTCACAGTTGTGAGTCGATTGGCCAGGGGAATTTTGAAACTTGAGAAGGCAGTCAACGACAAGCCTCAACTGGAGGTTCTTCAACGCCTGTTGGCAGATATTGGCACCAACTGCTGGGTTGTGACCAGGGAATGCTTCATCACTGGAATGAATGCAAACTGGAACATAGAGGATCCTGAAGTCTTGCACATGTGCTTTGCACTTTTCGCTGGACCAAACAACACAAAACAAACGCTCGAAAATACTTTTTCCAGTCTCAAGGATGCTGTGAAGAGATTCAATCGAAATACAAAGAATTGTGGGCCCACCACCAAGTGGTGTTATGCATGCACTGCGCCATATGCCAAAGAGGGTGGGCTGCCACAAGTTGAGCTGGATGCTTCCGATTTCATGGAGTTTCATCAGGCTGGCTTGAGCTGTACCAAGTGGTTGAAGGAACACCCCTTCAACGCCTTGAAGCATAGCGTCGCTGATGCTGTGCCAAGCCCAGGTGATGTGGTGGCCGAGACAAGGAAAGCTGGGCCAGATCAAAACCCAGCCAGCGCCGCTGCAGCTGCCTTGGTCCTTTCTACAATGGACAATTCTTTTGAGAATGTTGGAGATGCGTGGGCAGGTGCTCTGGATTGACTTCAAGATTTGCTTTTCTTAGATCTGTTTTTGTTGTGGTTCTATCTGTTGTTTGGAAGCTATGTGTTTGTTCTTCTATTCTGCCACCTCACTGTCCATAACAAGGTCTGGTAGTCACTTGAAACTTGAGAAGCTGAGGCTGTCTGTTCGTGCTGGGAGGGTTCTATTTCAACGTGATCACGCAGAAATTTTACCTTTCACTGGGATTCAGATTCTGTGGGATGCAAGCCATTCTGGTTGAGAGCAGGACTATTGCAGGGGAGGCACGCACATTGCTGTGTTCCACTTGGTTGGTTTTGGTATTCTGCTGAAGTATGTCATGTTCATTGCTTCCACCATCTGGTACTGTCAAAACACTGAGACCCTGTCCAGGTCTATTTGCTGCCAAACCCTGAGGGTTCCAAAACCCCACTTTGGATCTTCAACTTTGACGCGAGTGAATCATGTCCCTGGCGGTTCTGCCCAACTACGATCTTGCCTCCCAGTGCTGTTTCAGATTGAGTTCGCAGAGAACTTGGTGCTCCCATTGTCTTCAAGCAGACTTCGGTATATGAATCACTGGTTGGAGCAGCAGTGCGCGCAGGGCATGACTTTGTGATGTGGCAGCTCAGAAAAATCATCGCGAGTTGGGGATTAAAAATCCCCAAAATTGGAACAGGTAAGAAAAACCGTGTTCTGAAGAAAGATCTCTGCAATGTACTCATTGAGCGCTTCATGCAATCAGCTACTGATGAAGAAAAAGCACAAGTTTTACAAAAGATGCTGGGTAGAAAGGTGGCTACTGCAGAGGAAAAAGAGCAAGGTGCAGAATTGGTGTCAGCGGTCGCAATGCTTGGCGCATCAGAGGGTAAGGCCTATCAAGACATTGTCGATAACTGTCTGAATGAAGTACAGCGCAAGACTGAGAAATTGCGCGCAAATGCCAAGCCACAGGAGAAGCAACCAGATTTGGAGCAGGAGAAGACACCGATGGTCAAACCAGACACTTCCGGTGAGGCCACAAGTGAACCACCCACTGCACATGTCAAGAAGGCTTCGGATGTTGAACGTGCCCAGCCAAAGGTAGGGTACAGCAAAACACCTGCGCCTGCAGAGCTAAAACAGCTTCTGCCTGACATTGGTGGTCTATACCTAAAGTGGTCGACTAGGGATAGAAGAGTAACCTGTGAGTTCCTGAACCTTAAAGGGTCAGGATTTCAGCGCACCAAGACCAGTTCTTGGCCTGCCTACTGTGGTGTACTGCCAAAAGAGCAATCGATGTTCACCATTTTGAAATTCATTGAACTCACCAAGAAGAGCCACTTTCCTGATTCGGACTCCACATGGCAAATGCCATCCAGGGAAAGAATCTTGGAATGTGTAACGCAACTTACAGAGCGGCTGGCTGCTGAACAGAACAGTGGCAAGTGACAAGTGAGCCAAGCGGCAAAGGAAAAAAGAGTTATCCTTCAATTCCACTCGAAAGAACCTTGCTGAGATCTTTCATTTTGCTGACCCCTCCTTGCCCCCCCTGTCTTATGACCCTATGATGGTAGTGCGAGAGTAGTACGCGGAGTAGCTGGGGAGCGGGAAGATGAGAACTGGCGAGTGGGTAGTACAACTTGAGGGCGTGGAGTATCTGGGGAGCTGGGAGATGAGCACTGGCGACTTTGTAGTACAGCTGTAGTACGCGGAGTAGCTGGGGAGCTGGAAGCTGAGAACTGGTGACTTTGTAGTACAACTTTAGTACGCGGAGCAATCTGTGGAGCTGGAAGCTGAGAACTGGCGACTGCGTACTACAACTTTAGTACGCGGAGTAGCTGTGGAGCTGGAAGATGAGAAGTGGCGACTTGGTAATACAACTTTAGTACGCAGAGTAGCTGGGGAGTGGGAAGATGAGAACTGATGAGTGGGTAGTAGCTGAGAACTCGCGACTTTGTAGTACAACTTGAGTACGAGGAGTAGCTGGGGAGCTGGAAGATGAGAACTGGCGACTTTCTAGTACAACTTTAGTACACGGAGCAATCTATGGAGCTGGAAGCTGGGAACTGGCGACTTTGTAGTACAAGTTTAGTACGCGGAGTATCTGGGGAGCTGGAAGATGAGAACTGGCGAAGTTGTAGTACAACTTTAGTACGCGGAGTATATGGGGAGCTGGAAGATGAGAACTGGTGACTTTGTAGTACAACTGTAGTACGTGGAGCAGTCTGTGGAGCTGGAACCTGAGAACTGGCGACTTTGTAGTACAACTTTAGTACGCGGAGTATCTGGAGAGCTGGAAGATGAGAACTGGCGACTTTGCAGTACAACTTTAGTACGCGGAGTATCTGGGGAGCTGGAAGATGAGAACTGGCGACTTTGTAGTGCAACTTTAGTACGCGGAGTATCTGGGGAGCTGGAAGATGAGAACTGGCGACTTTGTAGTACAACTTTAGTACGCGGAGCAATCTGTGGAGCTGGAAGCTGAGAACTGGTGACTTTGCAGTACAACTTTAGTACGCGGATGAGTCATCTCTCGCGGCTGCTCTGGCGCCCCTGCAGCTGAGTCATGTCTCCCGACCACCCGGCTCTCTTAAAAGGTTGACACACACACACAGAGACCCACGCACTGCCTCAACTTACTCGGACACACACACACACAGACAGAGACTCATACACACACAGACATAGATACACACACAGAGACCCACACACTGCCTCAACTCACTCGACTTAACACTTCACACTGAACACTTAACAGATAACTCACACTCTGACTTCCTACGTGATGAAAAATGCTTTCGGGCCACTCGTCGTCTAGTTTGGGGGGAGCGTTTCCCTCATCAGGAACTTCTGCAAGGCAGTTCTGCACGTTCTACACCCTGTTTTCGAGTGCTTGAACTCTTGGCGCTTGAGTTCGTGTTGATGTTGGGTTCAAGTCCCAATGATGGGGCCTAAAGAATCCTAAAGAGGTTGCATGTCTTTTTGGTTGTTGGGCCATGTTCCTTTGGGGTCATGCAAGCAGCTGCACGCTGCTTTTGGAGGAAGAATTGCCAGCGTATTTTCTTGGAAACCTGTGCAAATTCAAAGCTCCGCGGCTCCACGGATCAACTGCTTCACGGTCGGCATCCTTTCGGTGGTGACATGCTTTGACGAGAAACTGTCAAGACATTTGGACGCCGCTGGGTTTCTCGTTTGGGGCGGTTTTGTGGGTGAGTCTCGGACAGTGTGATCGATTGGGCTGGATGACAGGCTTTCGAGGCGATGAGAACTAGTAACTAGTGATTTGTGAGGATCAACAAAGGGCTGACTCAGCGTTCGATTGGGCTTCCAATCAACAACTCCTCAGAACGAGATCCACACAGAATCAGGGAGAACTTGAAGCAAAGTTGTTTTGGATCACACAACTCTAACTCTGAAGGGGAGAGCCCTCCAGCTGCTTTCAACCAAAAGCCAGCGGCTTGACCCTGGCCTTGCATTTCTTGAACTCAACATATAAAGCACATTTTGGCACTCCACGAGCCAATGACATTGCTACTCTCCCCGGAACATCCCGGAACTACGTCACATGAAAGTGAAACCCCCCTGTTTGTAGGAGAGAATTGTCTTCCGGGGCCATGGCATCCACTTCCATGTGGGTTCCTCGGAGTGTACTTCACTTGCCCCCCAAACCCCCCTGCAGGTTCTTTCAAAAAGCGATCCGCCAAATCACCGCAGGCACCCCGGATTCTGGATCCCATCGCGGGCACCGGACTTCACGCCGCCCGGGGGACCCGGTTCTTTGGGGTCACGGCGACTGTTGCAACACGGGTTGGAACGGCGGGGCCAGATGAGCGACGAGAGTCGCTCTGCCGGCCTGCGGCGAAGATGGACGAAGATGGGGGATTTGAGGTGCGACGTGACGTGGCCAACTCTGGGACATCTGGCCATGGAGAACAGCATGGTGCAGCCAAGGGCCACATGGTCAAGAGATGGCACACACATTTGTTCAGCCCGACTGGCTATCCAAGCCATGCCCAGGGCCTGTAGCACATTTCTTGTTGATGGACCCTGCAGCATGGCGTCGGAATGTGTCGGATTTATCCTGCGTCCACCAAACTGGGGTTGCCTCAGATTCACAAGTCGAGCGTGGGCCGGTGAAGCATGAGGGTGTTTGGTTCTGATCAATATATGGCTTTGTGTCACTGTCATACACAAATACGTATACCTGCAAACCACTCTATCAAGTCGTTCAGTTAGCCCAGTAAGGAGCCATTGGGATGGGAACCGCGTTTGCTGAACCCACAGTCAGAGAGAAGACCTTTTTTGTGTCGATATAGTGGCTGACACGGATGCAATCGCATGAAGCAATCCACATGAGTTTTGCGATGCGTCGTTAGCACTATTCAACAGCAGTTCTGCAAGGATCAAGACAGCTACAGTGCTTTGAAAACAACTTCAGCCCGGATAGTGAAACACTTGGGGATCGGACCAGATAGCGATTTTTCAGCATGTGGCTGGGCATGGGGGCATTCATGTCATTGTTGTTTCTTGCTTCTTGTTGGGACCTTCACTGTCTTCGGGATACGTACAGTCCAGATCATCCTTTCAAATCAAAATCCATCCAGTCAGAAACCAACGGTCTCCCCATGTCCCCCCTTGGAACCCGAAGCCGAACGGCTCCTCCTCCGGTCGTCGAACGTCGTCCGTGTCCGAGGTCCTGCTGCGGGACCTGGGCTGTGAGGCCGTTGGACGTCGTTTGACGTTTCGGTCGTTGCTGGTGGCAGTGAACCGAAAGGTGGTGAGTGGAGTGGGCCGGCGTGGGGTGGGGTGGGGTGGTTCTCGTCGTTCTGGGCCGCATTTCGTTGTTGTTTCAACGTGGTTCGCTATGTGCTCTTACACAATGCGTTCACAACATGATACATGCCAATACGTCAAGGTACATGTGTGTGCCAAAAGCCCGCTCGCTTTCCTCCGTTACACTCGCTCTTGTGGGAACAGCGGGAGTGGTAAGCCTAGATCCAGAAACACACGGACCACGACTTGAGCTGCCACTGCCGGGGGGATTGGACCCTCAAAGTGGTAGCGGACCACGACGATCTAACAATGTACATGAGTCCGACTCAGAAGATGAAGAAAACATTTACACCCTGGAAGACGATCCCATGGACCCTGAAAACCACTGGTTGGTAGAGGAAAACAATCTTCCCGGGGGCCAGGACGTCAAGGTCTATGTTAGTTTTCGGGAGTGTAAAACAAAAAAGCGAAGAAACCATCTTTAGAGACTGTAGACTCCCGATCTTGGCGCAAGCGCCAGCGAGACTGTACACATTCTGTCAGATGTCAGGAATCACAAGTGCATGGCAGTGCAACAGTTTTGGGATGTTTTTGGTGAAGTCACAAGAGACCAGTATGAGGAGGGCAGAAAGATTGTAAAGTGAATGACCGTTTTTGGGGTCACGCCTTTGATTGAACCTTTCTAATCCATAATTTCAGTTTCACGTGATTAGGTTCATTTTGACAGTTGGCTTTCCTTATGCTCTGCCCACCAGCCAACCTCAGATGTATAAAAAAGGTTTCCAAGACTTCTGATTTTTGTACCACATGAACGGCGTCACTGACCAGGTGATCTTGGCAGACTCAGTGCATGGGGGATCCACCCAGAGCAGTGGTGCGGACTGGGGGCTGTTTGGAGAAGGAAGGGACAACTGCCTTGACCCCTTTGTCAAGCGGGGTGTGTGCACCAATTAGTAAGTCTACAAACTTCTTCCCCCACTTTAGTAGGTATGCATGGCAGGCCACGTTTGATATCTGATCCTAGATTTCTGAGACATCCCACGATCTTGCAGAATCCTACGTCTATTTGTTGGACATTGAAGCTCATCCAAGCTATACTAGGATATCTGCAGAACCCTTCCAAATTTGAGAAGTCCAGGTTTACGTCTCTTGAAGCAGAATTCCATTGAACCATGTGTGTACATTCTTGTGGACCCCGCTCCCTGCTTTGAAAACTGCTCCGTCTTCCGGTGGACACCGACCCGCTCGAGGTCCCGAGTCCACAGGGGTCCCAAGCACCGCCCTTCTACGAGCGGTCCACATAGAGGTCTCGATACATAGCCTGGGGGTGTCCAAACACCACCTAGGCTTGGAAGGTCCTGGTAGAGAAGCTGACTGCAGAAATCCGGTGTTGCAACCAGTGTCGCGAAAAGAAGAACTGGATTTTTTCTTCAGAGCTGCTTTCTTGGCGAAGCTGTGATAGGCTGGGGGTTGTTCAGCACCTGTTGTTGATTGAAGGCCACACCATGCAAACTGCACCTTTGCACCGTGCGAGGACACGCAATACTTGCAGCAGTGCATCAGCTCAGGCAGGAATTGTCCTTCAATCGTGCGAGTGGAACACCGATGTCGGTAGATGCTTGACGGATGCTGGGAGAGCGTGTAGATTGACTTCCTGGCCGAAGGTGTTTGGACAGTGGTTTCCCCTCTGAAAGATGATTTGGGGATAGAAACCCTAATGTAGACTTTGGATTAATAAAACCACACATTTGGTTGAACAACTTCTTCATATCGGGGGTTGAATTAATCAAGAGTCTACTATTATACCTGGATCCTCGTTTGGGCGGAAAAAGTGCCGGACCTCAATCCGGCAAAATTTTCCGCCGGATTCCGAAAAAAAAGTCGGAGGCCTGAAAAAACATCCGGATCCAAGATTCTGAAAAACAGAGATGATAAAAGGTTGGATCATACACAAGCAAACTGCCTTTGCGCCGCGAGTAGTTTTTCTGGAGCACACTCGAACCTTCCCGTTCCCATTGCCCTCGCTCTTCCGAATGGCCTAAGAGCAGAAATCACAAAATATAAGCAACTTGTGCCCAAGCAAAGACTTCCAAGAAAAAACCAAGGAGTATGTGGCAAGGAACCCCTCTTTCTCTGCAACCGTGTCTCTCAAGTGTTTTTTTACAAAGTGGGTTGCTCTTCATGATTCTCATGCTTCTTAATGTTTCTTTAAAGCTTGCCTCAGGACGGCCCCCCAATAAAGTAGCAGAACTCATGGTTCCTGTCAAAACTCTTCTGTGAAAAACTGTTCACAATCAAAGGCTGCAGAACACTCAGTCCAACAAAAATACGCCGGAGTTACGGGAAAATACGCCGGAGTTACGGGAAACTACGCCGGAATTACAGGAAATTACGCCGGAGTTACGACGTGCAATTTTTTGACAACTCTCTGCAAAACATTGAGATTCTGAACAACACATGTTCCACAGCCCAAAACGTGTCCGGCAGGCTCTGCAAACCTGCGCAGCTAGAACTATATCCCAGCGCCCCGACGTCCTGAAACAATGGGAGTACTGTACATGTTTGCCTATGCTCTTTCAGCTTAGGTGCACCCACTTGGGTCTTTCAACAGGTGCATCGCACTGTACCGGCTTCATCCGATTTCATTTAGAAGATCAGCTAAACGGATCTGATTGATCCAGTGTGAACCATGCTGAAACCGGTGGAATGAGAAAACAGCGGAACAGGCAAACGAGCACACTTTGCAAACAAAATCATTGCATCAGTAGTGGGTTTAACTTCAAAGAAATGCAGACCACAAAGAATGCAAAGCCTTGAGAATCCACATAAAGTGACTTGGAAAAAGCGCCGGACCAAATCCAGAAAAACGCCGGAGTTGGAAGTCCGGCGCCGGACCCTGTAAAGGTGCCGGACTGAAGATCTAGGTATATACCTTAACAAACAGACACCAAACAATTGCCTCGATGGATTTCCACCGGGGTGAATCTGAATCAGCACTTACGTTCCCCAATGCCCCACACCATCCATGTATGGAATAATTAGCTGTTGACATACTTGCATGAGGGTCATCAATGGTGCATGTAAATCCAGTGATGCAACTATTCCGTTTTTGCATGGACGACAAGGTGCTTACCCACCTTCCACTGATTACATCAGTGGCGATGGGATATACCGCACATACCACGTTATGTCCCCGTAACAAAAGGCAACGAGAGATGTCTTGCCTCGCAGGCTCCTCCGCCCGGGCAGCCGCAGCCGCTCAGACGGCGGCGGCGCAGGCAGCGGTGGCTGCCGCCGGGCCGGCGCTGGTGGGAGACCCCGTGGGCTACGGAGGAGGTGGGGGAGATCCTGCGAGGTGATATGCGAGGTATTCATATGGAGATACATACTGCAGTTCCAGGGAGGTTGGGTGCCGTTCAACGGAGGGGTCACCGGGGTGCCCATCCTCCGACTCCAAATCCGACTCACTCCGCAGTGACGAGATCCTGATGAAGCCCGGTTCTGCACCACATCCCGCACCTCAAGCTCCGGTTTAGGGTTTTTGCGAGATGAATCCGATGAAGTTCAAGGTGGCAACCCCAAAAAGTGGATGTGAGCCACAAGAATCACAAGACTCTCCCCTACCTGGCCTACCCTTAAAGGGCCTGTTTGACCTCTTCTGTGGCATTGGAATCGCCATGTTGGTCAACATTCTGACCCACTTCGGTGGCCCGGTTGTGCCCAACCCTTCGTACTGGGGTCAGGTCTTGGGAGGCATCTCCGGTTCCATCCAAAAGCCTGAGCTAGATCCCTCAAAAGTCCAGATGATCCGAATCCAAGAGTTGAGAGTCTGGGTTAGATGCCGCATCTGGTATCTCCGGACCTGATGGTCGAACGGAGGTGAGTGCTTCCAGAGAACGGTCTTTGGTGCTAAAGACAAGACCTGAGGTCTGGGCTGAGCTTCAGCACCTCGACATTTTCGATGCGGGAGAGGCCCGGTCTGTGGAAAACCAAGTAGACGTCGGTTGCGTGAAGCAATAGGACTGGAAGACGACCTCATGAATACTGGAGTTGGTCATACAAATGCAATATTTAAGGAGGTAGAAGACCAGGTTTTACTGGGTCAGACTGGACTGACGCAGGGTTACAGTCCCATGGATTGGTAAAAATTCCAGTCGCATGGATTGGTGAAGGAATGCCGCTGATGATGAATCTTCTAGGACCTCAGTAGATGATGTTCCTTTTCACGAGGTTGGATCAAAGACTTTTGCTTTGAGTTTTGTGCCCAAGAGGGTCGGGGCACGGCCTGATGATTCCGGCAGAGTAGACAGCAGCCCACGTCAAAAGGTCGGTGGGAAACCCAATCTGAGGAAACAACAGGTCAATATGCGCCGGTCAAAGTGCGCCTAGAAGTTTGTTGCGACAGCTGTTTGTTGAGGAAGCTGCGCTGATTCTTTCCAGCAAAAGTTATTGGTTTGAGTTTGAGTTCTTCAGTTGTGCTACGAGTTTCCAAGGAGGCCAGTGGCTAATGCAGAGCTAACTGCAGAGTTTTGAGATTTTGGAAGCAAGCATGAGGCCATCGCTATTAGTAACAAAGGGCATCGTTACGAACGGAGCAATGTTCGCTACGAACGGGGCTCCTGGCCTTACTAGTAACAAGAAGCTGCTAGTAGCAAGCATGATTTATTTGAGGAAGTTGAGTTGGTTGCTGGAGATACACCTGGACACTCTCAAACGATCCTATGGGACCCAGGTCGCGGTTTGGCACCCGGGTCGTCAGACTGTTTTTCCGTTTTCGAACGCTGGGCCAGTGGTTTTCAGGGTTTGTGTGAGTTTCAGTGGGGTAGGAGTAGGAGAACCGGGAACCAGATGGGAGAACCAGGGTCTCTCACTCAGGATCTTCTCAGGCACTGTTTCTTTCCTCAGGTCAAGGAGCACCTTCTCAGGATCTTCCAGAAATATTTCTCGAAACCAATCCGACACCTGGGACCTGATGGGCAAAGACCCCAGGTTTGTTATATATTGCATGGTTATGCATGGGTGTTTTCTGGATGGCCACATGACGTGATGGTCAGAAAGGCTTTTCACTTGGATCCGGCCACACAACATCACGCTTCTCAGGCTGCTGCGGCTTGGTGGCAACAGCACGGTGAGGCGAGGTTTCTGGGACCTTGTGGAGTCGGCTTGTTCCGGGGATCCAGGTCCATCGAGCAGTTCAGTGAGTGGGTCTTTTGGATATTTGGCCCAGAAAGGTGTGGAATTCACGCAGTTTGAGACGGGGAGGACATACACTGAAGCACCCTGACCTAGTTACTTGGTGTTGCAGTCCAGGCATGGTTAGCTATTGGTTGGCAGTGATTTAGGCCGGGCTCAGGTTGGTCACAGCCAACCTCACAAATAGCAGTAGAGATGAACCACGGCGCTTGTTGCTTTAGTCAGGAACATTCCCAGTGTTCAGAAATCGCTTGGCCACGGCGCCACGGCTTGGTATTCCGGTGTTCAAAGTTGATATGGTACCTTGCCGCGCTAGTCAAATGCGGCTAGGGCCGCTAGGGTTGGCTCGAGGTTGTATTACCTAGGCTTTTGAACAAAGCTGTTTTGTTGCCTGCGGCATTGGCAGAGGAGTGCACTAGATCCGCCCTGGACCGCTTTGCACATCTCAACAGACTTGCCCACCCACTCTCAACAGACTACTACATTTGCGACAAGCATATTTAAAAATAATAGTAGTAACCTCACCTCAATCAAAAGCAAAATCAAGTTGGCGCAATTTGACTTTGTTCATGTGTGCCGGAAGACCGCCACTTTGAGTTTCACACTTGCATACTGCATACACAACATTTAATCACATAGCGTTGTGCATGATGGCCTGTTCTCCACTTGAAAGCCACCGGTTGTGACTTCGAGCAAGGATAATCATAATGGCCGTATATATTTATAGCTTGCGTTTTTTGCAGATCATGAATGGTCTTGAGGATGCCCCATTGCCGCCACTATTCTCAAAAAAAATCCGTCTCTAGCTTTCCATGCGCGATTTTGCTGGTGTCAGATCAACAGGCTTCCACTTGGTTGCAAAATCCTTCATCAGAGGTTGAGATTGAGATCCTTCAAGCAGAGCTACGCCGCACTCATCGGATTGTCAGTGGATACGGGTCATTGTTGGAAAGGTGTGAGGCTAGTCAACGGCGTCAAATTGTTGGAAATACGATCTTTTGCGCGATCCTGTTTGTCCTGTCCTCACTATCCTTTTTTTGTCAGTTGGTGCCGCTGTCTATCACCACAGCCATTGCAGAAGTTGGGGCCGGACACTCCTCGGATTCTGACAATCCAGGGTCAAAAAGCCAAGCCCTCCCCTTCAAGGTGGCAGGACCGCAGAGGCCATGGACTCTGTCTAGACGACAGACATGAACGACAATTCAATGACCCTCGACATTGCTGAGCCACAAGTCCTGGTCCATTTTGACCACGACCCCAACAACCTGACCGAGCACCACAGAATTCTTTTGAATAAGCTGGGGCCGGGACGTTGGTTGGGTCTCACCCCAGACCACGAACTGGTGGTTCTAGATTTGAACATTCAGTGCCACATTGTGCTAGATCGGCGTAGCCGATTTCCAGACCATATTCATGACGGGATTTCTGCATGTGATCCTTTGAGCCACAACGAGCTTGAAGGCTTCAAGCGCCGTGCCAAAATTATGAACCTGGTGCTTGGAGATGCAGACATGCAGGATGTTGAAGCGACGGTATGGGTGTACTCTGACCCAAGTTCGCAAAAGCTCGGTGAGACAGTGCCGCAAAACTCTCTCGACCAGGCTGTTGTGCTTGGTGACCGGGGATTGCTGGAAGTGGATGGTGTCATTGAGGCCATCCGAGAAATTTACCAAAGCGAAGTAGCGACCATCAAAGACTCTGCAAAGGGGTCGGTGGGTGACCTTAGGACCACAGGCCTTCACAAGGAAGCCAGAAACGACGGCTCATCGGTTTTGCAGATGCCATGTCGTTGGTTAATGTTGGTTAGGGAATCGAAGTTTGAAGATTCGGGCTGGAGTTTGTGACCTCAATTCGCGACACTCAGGTCCCAGTGCAGGTTTCTTGCAAAAAAGCCGCAGTGCTACAAAAATCCAGGCACGTGGACGCTGGGCGACACAGAAAATAGCATCTTGAGGTATCAAAAGCATTCCAGTTGGTAAGTTGCTGAATCGATTCTGCCTTGAAAAGATTTCGATGCTTACGCGCCTCCACTTTGGAGCCTTCCATATCGGAGCTGCCTTCAAGCTTGTGTCAATATGCCAGCATCGCTGCTCAGTCGAAGGAACGTGCATTTCGAAACCCTGCTGAGACACAGACACTGGTGAAGCAGACAAGTGACGAGCGCTGGGCAGTTGAGGGTCATGTGAGGTCTGGCAATTTACAGCTTGCGTCTTTTGCAGATCAAGAAATTCCATCTCCCTCCACTCCTCTTCACAGGGCTGCTGCAGCATGGGTCCAAAACCTCCAAATGGTCCGGTGCAGTGCAATGCTGCTCCGGGCGAGAAAACATGAAAGTAACTGTGCTGTCCACCCTGTCCACTTCGTCCATCAGCCCTGTGGGAAAAACCCTACAACCTTCGCAGACCTCGCGGAGAAGATTGCAGTGGGCTCAGAGTTCAGAGTAGATGGCACAATCCCCAAAAGGTGGCTTATATGGACCCATCTAAAGGACATCATGGGGTTTGTGCCAAAAACACTGTTAAAATACGACCAGGAGTCACATGGAATGGGGTGCTTTGTCTCGTCCCATCCAGTGAGTACAGGTGATGTGACAGGGGCACTCCGCACCTCACCTCACACCCCGAGCTTTGTGACTCCTGGTGCGTGGCCCTTTAGGAAGAACATCTTTAGGAGGGGAGAACGTACTGATCCGATACACTAGCAGTTCCGAACGAAAAGGAGGGAGTTTGGGGCCGGTTTGTAAAGGGGCTTGGAAAGCCACTTGCTAAGCATCCTTCCAGCCCATGTTGAATTGGGTCGCAATCAGTCACAAATTTGGAATGACCGTATGGGCGGCAGTGGAAATAAGGCAACTTTGGAAGTGGAAACGGAAAGAACTGAATGAATCACAGTTCTGACTGTTTGGCAAGTCTTCAGCGTGGGGTCCTTGAAGCATGTTTGACCAACTAGTCACGTCACTGGAGCCGCAGGGTATTCCAACTGCAAGATACATCCCTTCATGGCTTTTCTTTTATGGTAGAAACATCTACTTCGAAACCCTTTATTTATTGCACCCATGTCCCATGACCCCCTGCCAACAAACGCCGCCCTGCTACCGCGTCGCACCCATGACCGATGGAGGCGCCGAACGCTGTGCTGATGCTCTCCTTCCCACCACCGCCGCCTTCGGAGGTGGCCGAGGTCCGGAGAAGATGCAGCGCCATGCTTTCGAACAGGTCCTGGTGAGAAAAGTTGACTATGAACCGTGGTACCCGGTAGGTTGACCTCCCCAGGAGTCTATTCTGTTCAGGTTCTGCGGTCAAGCAACGAACCCATGGAGGGGCCATCATTTCTCCAAGAAGAAACCAAGAGAGCGAACTTCCCAGCACTAGAAGTTGGGCTGGGACAGCGCAAAACATCAGTGTGGTCTAATGGCCTTAGATGCAAGAATTGTTCGTTGACCGATTCCGTGAATTGTACAGCATTTCAGTCTAAGAATCATCATTCATGTGGCTGCGGGTCAACAACTGGAGCCCGATCTGCCAGGGGAACCCACCCTCCGATCCTCGGAGCGTGTCTTCCTCTATGGATGGATCATTAGACACTCTTAAATGCCTTCATCAAAAAATCCACAGGCAATATATATATATATTGATAGGTACCTCTTTGATCCTCTTTGGTTTAGTTTTGTCTGTATGTAATTCATCCACATAAATCGTCCAAATGAGGTACCTCTTTCTCAATCCAGAGGAGTTGGACGTTTCTCTTGTGTCGCATATGCTTAGAGAGGTTCAGTGACCTGAACTAGGACCCGTAACCTGGGGTACCCAACTGGGATAGGCTAGTTCGGGTCCTTCAACCTCTGTTGGTATGCTTGTCCAAGAAGAACGTGCAAACTCCATCGTCATCTGATCATCGTCAGGCGGCCCTGCGTCGTTTCGGAGGACGCTGGGTCCTGTTCATCGGCGGCTCGGCGGAGAGATAGCTCTCGTCCTTGCCGGGATTCGGGTGGGTGGTGTCAGTCAGAGAGATGAGAGAGATCGATTTGTCTCGCATTTTTTTTTCGAGTATATAGTAACATTTTGGGGCGTCGCTACGAACGGAGCAAGATGACGCTACGAACGGAGGCAGCTCTTGGCATTACTACTAGAAACAAGGAGCTACTAGGAACAAAGGGCATTTTGATGTCAAGTATCTGGGGTATTCTGGGGTCTATTTTTTTTGTTGGCGAATGATTGTGAACTCATGCAGGGGCCATCTAAAGTTTGTCGTATAAAGCGAGTTGAGGCAAATAGATGCAAATAGTAATTGCGGAGAATGGCGGAGTGAACCAATTGGCCTATCTATTCAGCCTTGCTGTTGGCCACGTTCCTGATCATTCTTTGGAGTCTAAGGGGGGCCTTAGAAGGTCTGGGACGCCGCCGCGTGGCGCCATCCACGTGAAAGTGGTGTACACCTTCTAGTTGCACCATAGGTGAAAGCCACCTGCAACTCAGCATATGATATGGGGATTGGTCAAAACCTGCTGCCCGACCTGTCCACCATGTTTTCCGGCGAGCTTCGTGACCGATACGAAAGGGCGCCGTCGTGTGTGGTCGGTCGAAACTCTCCAGTGCGACCCACAGCCATTTTCGGACGGGGAAACGAGGCGAGTGGCGTGGCTGTACTGGTTCAAAGGCTTTCTTCGACCGCTTGGAGGTGAGGAACCCAGTGTTTGCGTCGAGTGTTTCAGGAAGCGGAGGAAGCGAGAACGAAGATCCGATGCGACAAAGCCACAAGGGCAAGATGTTCCTAAATAACGGGATCAATGAAGATTTAGCTCGTGATCATTTATACAAGATCATTTAGCTCGTGTGTTTTGTGTGGTATCAATGAACCGGTGGCATTGACTTCACGTCACCGTGGATATCACTGGTCATAAACATGGCCAATGCTACGTCTAAGGCCATAAATCGATCATCCAAACCAAGGGTCTAGATTGAGGCTGTGTGGTTTCTCACAGGTTTGGTGGTCCATCTACAAATCAGTCATACTACCACCTGACACCCAACACCAGAACCTTGCCAATCTCTTGCCTGTAAGGAAGCTGTGGCGGTTGTGCAAGCTTGGGAATTGCCTTGGCGAGTTCACCAAACTTCTTCATCCAGTTGCTTACCGATATATATATATATATAACCCTATAGTATCACAATATGTTATATTTATACATAAGTCATCAAAAGTTGGTGAACAACAACGATCCTCCTGGGCCCTGAAACGGCTTCTTCTTTCTGCTTGACCGGGTGTCCGTGCCATTGCCAAAGCCATCGCAGCCGCTGCTAGGCCGAGTGGCGCTTGCTTGGGACCTTTGAAGTGCCCCGCTGGCCGATGATGGAGGACCCGCATCTTGGGAGGAGGGGCAATGAATTTGACACACCCATTCAGGAAAGGTATCAGGACCATCCTGTTTGGGTGTTTGGGTGCCCTACACTACTGATAGGTCTTCATTGGACATGATTGGTTCCCAGCTGTAGCCATTAAGTGAGGGGTTATAAATTTTGAGTATGCTTTAAGTGACCCAGGACCCACAGCTGTTGGTATTCTATGTTTGTTGATGAAGGGTCTCAACACGCACAGGGTTCACGACCCCATGTACACATATGTATATAATAATTGTATATATGTTATATATACAGTTATATATATTAGATATATAAAGTCCTCCTTGTCTTGTAGAATGTGGTAAGGGACAACAAAAACACGTTTGTTTCAGCAGCATCTTCTGCAGGACAAGGCCTATTTCCTCGCACGGAGCGAAGATCGACCAGTGGAAAAGAGTTGCTTTCGGGTTCCTGGCTGTGGTAGTCATACGCGTACCCCTTTCATTTGCGGGTGGGCTAAATCAATTTTGGAAGATATGAGCTCTTCTTCATTAGCCGTTCAGTCTCATTCAGAAAAAGCTAGTGCAAACTAAAGTAGACACCCAGCAACCCTATCAGATCGGGGAATAGATAGTGTTTTTTTGTCCTTTTGACCCTGCCAGGGTTTGTGTGATTCTCCAAACCCAAATTGACACACCAATGCCATGGTCATGTGAATTCTATCAAAGCTACGAAGGGGGGCACAGGCGCTTGGAGCTTGGGTGATCTTTGGACCATTTTGGATCCCTAGGGATTTACAACTACCTGAGGTTTAGCGTTTGGATTTGTTTCCTGGCTGTCGAGTTCAACTCGCGAGCGACAAGGATGCCCAAGGATTCTCGTGCCTTTGAAGAAGTGGACGCGAGCGACATCCGCTCCAAAAGCCCGGCATGGTTTTTGGAGCGGCATCTCTATATCTTAAGGTCTTACAAAGTTGAGTTCAGGTACCACGGAGGTGACGAGTTCGTACTTTGAGAGGTAAGGGTCGGAAGCAAAGAAAAGGACCTAAGGACCCTTTGGGAATGTAATGTTTACCTACATTGAGATCGGTCAATATATGCCAGTCCCATGGAGCGCCAGGGTTCGATCCTGCACTGGCCGCCCCACATGATCTCAACGATCTCAAGGAAGTGCTAGTCGCTCTAGCTCACGCAGTTCCTCAGGGAAAGAACTAGGCATCCATTGGTTTTTGGTTGCTGGACCAAAAAAAACATGTCCACACTGGATGGTGAAAATTCCCCCAGTAGGCCCAACATCGGGGAGGAAGATTTCACATTAAATTCAGTGTCGACATTAGTGTCGAATGTTACTGATTCTGGCCCAATCCACCTCTCCAAGTGATGATTATGCTGTTGCCTAACAGCAAGCCTGAGATAGGTAAATGACCTTGCACTTGTGTCTGTGATGTCACATTCCGTGATTTCATTGAAGGGGAGGCCTTCCCTCCAGCAGCTTGGATAACCGACAGCAGTTCTTCTCAACACGTTCAGAAAGGGGTCTGCGCAATCCTTTGCGGGCTTGAAATGGTGCTGAATCCAGGAACCAGGACATCGAATCTTAAGCAGCAAAAGCTCATGCAAAGCGAAGTAGCCTCAAAAACCATCCCTCTTTTCGAGCAGATTTGGACAACATGCCCCATCGATCGACTGTTCTTCACATTCGGGTCAGCCACATCGGACACGTCGGACGGGCCCCCACAGGTACCCCATGATCCAGAACGTTCTCGTTCACCTCACAGGCCAGACGGCACCGCGATTGTTCAGAGAAGACTACGACTGAAAAACCCAACTGATCTCAGCTCACAGGTGTGGATCTGTGATTGATTGTGATTGTGTATTCGATTTACAGGGTTGTAAGGACTTTCTATGTGGGTGTTGCGTGCCTTTGTGAGGCATATGTGCATGCTTGGCGGGTTGATAGGACATGGGAATGATTACTTTCGTTTTCTCATCGGGAACTGAAACTGAGCCAGCCTCGATCTTTAGCAAAAGTCTATTGCATTCCCGGGGCCGGAAGGGGTAGTTGACACAAATAGACCAGTATGGTTGCAGAGGACCACTGGAGCAGGACCACTACAAAATTGTCCCAAAAACTATATAGACTTCCATACCAACAATGCAGGAAGCACTGCTCGCAGTGTGTCCTTTTGCTCCTTCAGCCGAGCTGAGCCGTTAGGGAAGGAAAAGCCTAGTAGCTTCTTGTTCCTAGTAGCGATGGCCTTCAACCTACCCTAGTAGCTCTTGTTCCTAGCTCGGGAAACATGGATAACATGGGAGGTTCTTTTTTATACTCAGAACCGACCCACTGCCCGAAAAACTGTTTTTTGACCGTGCCTCCCGTGCCTCAGGCAGATGTTGCGTGAGAATTCGGCGGAAGTCTGATCGAAGCGCGGCGGAATGGGCGCTTGAGTGCGGGTCTGGGCTGATGCCACAGCGAAGTCCAACGTGTCGCTGGGGCCTGTGATGAACGGGTGCAGCGCAGGTTTGGACAGATCTGGAAAACAGATGGCCAGGAGCCTTGAAATGTAAACGTCCCAAGAAGACTGTTCGGTCCATGTTAATGTTGCCAGTTGGCCAAAACTGACGTTGTAATATGTTGTAATTGTAATCGTTTGATGTCTTGCCTGTTAAATTATTATCAGCAGCGCGGCTGCTGGCAAGATAGCTTCGATGGGTCTGAATCGTTGGGTCAGAGTTGTGAATTTCCCACTGAGAAGAGATGCATTTGCTGTTCATCAAGAACCGTTTGAGCTGTTTGATTCTTCACGGTTGCCAACCTTTGCAAAACTATATATACAGTTGCTTGTGCTAGAATATCAACAATGTTGTTGAGGCATACCTGATAGGTCTTCTCAGAAGCTCCGCTATCTCCTAGAGAAATGACACCATACACGTTTACCGCCTGGCATACACTTCACAGGGGCTCAGAACCAAAGCCACCATTGAACAACAAGCGGCTCAGCCCCGATGTGTCGGACTCCGGCGCAACCTGGCGGGTCATTCTATCATCCAGATCCTTCAGTAGGTGGCAGTAGATCCACCCAAGTAGAAGATCAACCGATCAACCGATGAGTTGGCGGGTTAAGAAACCCTCCCCGATCTTTTTCTGAAGATCAACCGATCAACCGATCCACCCCAGTCTTCAGTCCCAGACCCCTTGCGGCCTGCAGCCTGCCTGCGGCCCTGCCGTGCCCCAAAACCAGGACGACCCACGGGGTGTGATGCGTTTCGTTTGCAGCTTGGATCGTGTCGCTCATGGAGAAAAGACATGGTCCAAACTTGGTTGTGCCGATCGGGCGAGTCAAAAACTGTCCCCTGCAGATGCTGAATACCCTTTTGGGGAAGAGTTTGTGTTCCTTCTCCGGTTCCTTCAGCTTTGGTGTTCACGATGCAAGACCTGGCGCAAAACGCGCATCTTTTTTTGGTGTTCTTAGGTAAGTAATTTGTCTGGCTGCAAAAGTACTAACCAAACCTTTCCTTGTTTGGAAGCAAACTGATGATGTAGACTCTTCAGTCAGCGTCAGTTGAAGCTTTGATAGTTTTTGCCGGAGTGAAAAGGGGCAGTTTGTGGTCCAATAGGTTCTACATGCCAGAGGCTTCATTTGTAACATAAATTTGTGCTACGAGATTTTTTGGGTACGTTTTCAAGTGAACAGAGATTTCCGCTCGACCCTCAAAAAAACGCTCGTGCTGGGTACAATCCCCCACCTTCCCGCCCACGCACCTGCTCGCCCATGCACGCGGCCGGGCATTGCATTTCAGCCTTTTTGCCGGGAACCCCAAGTTTCCACGCTTTTAGCGTGAACTTTCACGAGAACTGCCGACGGTACTGCATCAGTATCCTGGTAAAACTGCGCATGCATGTCGTGAACTTGTGGCACCGACGGGACACTCGGGAGCATCGCCCAACAAAATCTTCATCTTGCCAGCATGCCCAGTCTTAGTGGTGGTGGTCTTGGTGGAAAAAACCTCAAGGGTCATCCCAAAACATCCCAAAACTTGACACCATACCTGGGTCAGGCTAAGATGCTCAATGGGTTGATGATGTACTTACATCCAAGCGTAATCCCAGAGTGCTCCAGTTCTTCCCTGAGCTCGGGAGCACACAAACAAAGACCCTCCAGACAGTTCTGATAAAAAGAGTTTCTTGAAGAAACATCCGACAACAGCTAAACAGCCTAGCACTTAATCCCCTCAAAGCAAAATTGAAATCCTGCAGTACTCCGCCACAGTTTCGCTGTATGGTCGTGGATATGGCACTTGGGCTTGATCTTGAACCGGTGCAAACCCTTTGAAGTCGCCAGGCTTGCTAAGCCCATGTAACCCTCCTAAACTGCATGCACAAAGGGCAGATTGATGTCACCAAAAAAGAAGGTTGGGCCTTTTCCATATTAAGGGCAAAGTGGCAAAACAAACAAACCTTGAACATAAAGACAACACTGTAACTCATTCAGAGGTTCCGTCAGTCCAAAAGCTAGATCAGTTAGCCGTTTGGCCTCCTCACCCGGCACCCAAACTCCAAACTTGTAGAGGGATCTGAACCACCCATTTGCGCAGTCAACCGTGAACTTGATCACATCGTACGTATCGCAATCGTTCGGATCCTCAGGACTATGGGGGTGATCGGGGCACATGATACCAAACATCCAGGGCACACAAAAACTTCAAGTTATACGTTGGAATAAAGCTCGTGCTATGCAGGCTGTTGTCCAAGTGTTCCCGGGAAATCTGCGAGCAAAGTTCGGACAGCCACTTGCAAACCACAATGCAGTCATGGCCCTGTCCTTGGAGACTGGGGTACTGCTTTTGCCTGGGATCAGGGTTGATTGTCAGGGGGCAAAACCTAGGCGCAAGTCTTGTTGGAACAAACGCTTCATAGAAACATGTAAGTTTGAAGATCAGCCCATGGTACGTCTGAACCTTGAAGGTCTTCAGACTGAACTCGCTGATTTTTGTGGTTTCCTTGTTGCTCACGCACCATGCTCTGAAGAGGATGTAGGCTTCACCAAGTCGTGCACCAATGGACCTACCATCGAACACACCCATACCAGCCAGGGCAATTATGCAGGAACCACAAAGTTCCTTGCCAAAGCCAATGGCAAAAACATGAGCTAGGTCATCTCGGATGCGCTTGGGGTCTGATGCGCCAGGAATTGAAATCAACCTTGACTGTTTGTGCGTTTTCCATGGTAGCACAGTAGTTCGGCCACTTGCTTTCCATTCCTTCATGGCACCATTCCGCCCAAGGTGCCACCATTCCTTGGCTATATCCCCCAAATCTTAACCAATGAAGCTGTGCGTTTTTTGGGGGACTCGTTTGAAAAACACGAATGAAGCATAAAAGGGTGCCAGAATATGATCCTTGCTGCTTTTTCAGAACAGTGGTGACAGATTCTACCAGACGTCGGCCCACTCACCAAAGACATGGCCTTTCGCAGCCAGGGCCAATCGCCTTTCACACCAACCCAGATCATGAAGAAGACTTGATTGTTTACCTGGGCGGGTTAAATTCGACCTCACGTACAGCGACCAATAAAGGTCCTCCACAACAGCTAGGAAACCCCGGGGTGCAAGAACGCTGCAATTGTTATCTGAGTGTCGGTGACCCCTTCAAAGAAGCACTTCTCTAAGTCAGTGGAGGTAAACTGAGCCATGGAGTCTAACGTCTTGTCGTTGTCAGCGTACATGTCAGCTGGCATCATCGAGGCCAGAAGTCGGGTGCACATCGAATGCCTAGGCACAACTGCCGGGGAACGGGGAAGGGTTGTGCTTCAAAGGAACCAACCCTTGAAAAGACATGGCAAAAATTTGCCAATCCAACGCAGATACCCACTCATGTTGGTTTTCTCAGGTCCACGAGGTCCCACTACCATTTGATATGACTGGATCAATATGGGAACCTTCCCCTTGCCACGGCCTTCATCGCCATGAAGACAATAAGGCAGGCATCTGCCCCATTCATTGGGAGACCGGTTGGTATATAGGGTGACTTGGGTCCACCCTTTGGTAGCGTGACCAGAACTCGAAATAGGTCCCGTGGAAGTCGTCCTGCATAGAATGGCCGCCCAAAATGAATCTGGGGCAATTCTTGAGCAAGTACGACGCCCAATCTGACAAAGCTATCATGGGGTAATGGAGGTCCACCTCTTTGACCGTCGGCCGGTGCTGTTTCACCCGAAGAAGCACCCAAGAGACTTTCACGGGTAAGATGCGATCACTTTTCTCAAGTCTTTTGTGGAAGTTCCGGGATATGTTCCTGTAGGTCTTTCTTGAAGTCCTTCCCGACGATGCAATGGCCTGAAGGTCATGGTCTCTCACACCTCGGGTGCAGCAAGGTCAGGATTATCCAAGAGTTACAGGAACCCTCCTATATAGGTAAGGTATACATACCCCAAAATCAAAACACGAAATCATTGCTGGCTGTCATGGTAAGGTTCCTAGCCGTCTCATACGGTTTGTCGCAACGCGGGCGAGACGGACTACACGGTGAGCACTCTCAGCCTTGATGGGAAGACGTTGCATGAGACACCGCTAGTTCTAAGACTATCTAATTAAAGACCCCAAGAAAAAGTGTCAAAGTAATTTAAAGAACAAAGACAAGTGTCTCCCACTTCAAAGCTTTTCAACAGCTCATCTGCCAGATCTTCTGGGGTTTCACTAGATCCACCATCATCAGTACCTGGCTGTATGAACACAAAACATGTACGTCCCTCAAACTGCACCTCCGATGCAAAGCGCGTACAGCCCTGCACGCCTGGCTCATCGCTCTCCGAAAGCCAAGAACCTGCAGCCCGCACGAATCAAAAGCGGTTGACCGGTGGTGCGCGATGTAAAACAGAGGCAGGCAGCGCGTAGTTTTTTCCCCTAAGCTTTGCCCACGATCAGTACGTTGATCGAGCCCTCACACATATGGAATGTGTGCACAGCTGAAACCCTTTGCCAACGAAGCATCGTTCATCGGACACTTAAGTACCTGCACGCCATGTAGGGCGTGAAGGCTTGGCATAGGTCTAGGATACAGAGTTCTAATCTTCCGCTTCAGCCTTAGGCTGACGAGGCTTTCTTCCCTTGCCTTTTGCCTTAGCCTTAGCTTTGCTTTTGGCCTTTGGCGCAGACTTGTTTTTGCCACTCTCATCACTGCGCGTCGTCGGGCCAACTGATTTCAGATTCCTGCGGCGGCATGTTTTTACATATAGCAAAACATGCAAATGCAGCACACAGGCAAATATATGAAACAGCAATCCTTGCGCGAACCAGTAGATTGTTGAGGGCAACGTCTGTTTTTGTCACCTCCTTCATTTTGCTCTTCATGGCTTCGGTGTCAACCCTGCCAAGAAAAGAAATCATGACTTTTTAGCTCCCTCAATCTCTTAAACAGAAAAAGATTCTTGGGTCAGTGAGGTGAGGACTGGACGTTCCAGTCAAAGCTTCGCCCTGGAGTTTAGACAAGTCATCGTAGCCATCATTCATCAGCTTGAGGAGAGAGTCCAAGGATACCAGCAGCCTAGGGAAACACAAGGCTCCTTTATTATAGGTCAACTCGCAGGCAGCTAGCATGCTAACATTTCAAGACCAAAGATGCAAACGAGGCACTGAGTTCCTTTCTCGCTCTTCTTGGCCTTGATCTTTTCCTGCGCCACCGTTTTGCGACAGCATCGATCCTATTAAAACATCGGCGATAAGTTCAAAGATTTAGGCAAGCCCCGACCTTCTCAAGATCAGCATTATCGATCTTCCTACCCAAGGTTTCCAGGAAGGTCGTGATCACGCTCAGTGGGCTGGAGTTCTCTTGCATCGTAGGAAAAACAAGCCTGGCACTCCCAACGCGGCAACAAAAAGAGAGATCGAGAGTTGACAACGACTTGATCTTGATCAGTCAACTTTACCAAAACGTGCCACTGCATGTAAAAGGCCTTTTCTTTAAGGATCTTGATTGCGTGCAAGTTAAATGAGGGATTTACATGTGGATTCCCCCCTATTGAGCTCGGTACTTTGTCAACGCGGTTTAGCAACGACAGTCGAACGACGCGAGTTCCAAACGACACCTGAAACTTGCTCCAGTCCCGGGCATAGCATCCTCCCCCGCCAGCTTGCTGTCGTCAACCTCTGGCAACAACTTGGACAGGTGGCCCGGGATCAAGTCCCCTCCGTCCAGGAGACTGCCATCAGGATCCTGTGGAAGGCGGGGTGGACATGAATGGGCTGGAAACTATGAGGGGTGTGCACACAGTGTGCGTATAACATATAAGTCCTCCATTTCCATAGTGGCTTCTTGGCGGGTCTCAAAACCTGATTCCTCCGCATACTTGAAAGCGTCTTCCAACACCACCTTGATTTCCTCCTCTTTGTGGATAGGGTTTACCCGCCATAGGTTGCGGGCTTTTGCCCAGTCCCATGCAGCCTCAATCATTGGCCTAGGAGGGTGGCCCGTGGTAACCCGTGGTAAGAATTTCAAGTGTGTATAAACTGTACGCAAGCATTTAAGAGGCCTAGGTACTTTGTCCAGTGCCTCTCGGCTGCCAACATGTGCTTCGTTACCCAAGCACCTTGTTTCGACCTTCCCATCGAAGATTTCTGGTAACGGGCGATGTGGCACTCAACAGCTTTGAAGCTACCCTCCTTTTTCAGGATCTCTTTCAGCTTGGCACCTCATGTTAGCCCACATGCCTACATGACATCTATACAGGTAAACGTACCGTTCAATTTTGAAGTAGGTTGGTTGAAGTTGCTAGTGTTTAGATTTCACATAACACCTGAAACCTCCAGACATGACCGCGAAAACTATTGTACCACTTTTAGTTTGTTGACCATCTAAAAGACCCAGCGACGCCCAGCTTCAGTCTTCCACATCTCCAGGGCCGCAGCCGACGCCTGCTGAGACCCATCCTTGCGAGGAGTGAAGTACCGTCTCATCCTCAGCCGACAATTTGAGGAAGACACCCCTTGCGTGCGTGTGTTGGGACCTTGAATGTATATAGGGGGCCACACGTGTACATTTGCAGTCTAAAGTCTGATGGTAGTATTTGTCGAACTTGTCACTCTTGCACGGTTGAGCTGTACGGGGTTGCTCCTTGCCACCCCCTTCACCTGCACACGCTTGATCCTGGCCAGTAGGCAGAAATGCCTGAGCGGGAAATGTAGGCCGCTCATACGTTTCTTCCAAGAAGGAACTGGACTTCCAGCAAGAACTGTCACGTACAGTGGGCACAGAGGGTGTGAAGTCTTCTACATCACGAGGTTGTGCATCATGGGGCCATGAGTATGGATCCTGCAGGGCAGGACTTGGGGGTAAGGCCACGGTGGACCTGCTTCGCACTGTGTGGACGCGGCTTGGTGTTGTTGCAGGCAAACTCTCAAGTCCAACGGCTTTGTTGCCAGCTGTGTAGGCACCGTCAGACTCAGCAAACTGGACATCACCTCCAATTGGGAATGTGCTGTGAAACCACACGCGGCCGGGAAGAAAGTAGCAAACTAATATACTATATAATATATATGTAGGTGCCTGGCTCTAGTAGGCGTTGGTTGTGCAAATCATCCAATGGCCGCCGGCCAGAGAGCTCATCAGTCATGCGCTGAATCCGCTCACGCTGCGCCTAGGTTCTAGGTGATTGTGCAATAGTCTCTAAAAAAAGGTGAGCGTTCCGCAAACACAACTTCAAGTGTGTGCCTAGGCACTTTGATCATCTCATCCAACTGTCCGAGAGAGGCTGGACCCCCTGTGCACTGGGAGTTGAGTAAGCCAACACCATCCTTGATGGTATTTGAGCTCCACTGTTTGGACAGCATGGCAAGCTTCCCTTCACTAGGTTGGAAACTCTGGCCTAGACCCTGGACCTAATCAGACAAAAGGCTGCGAACGTTCGAATCGACCAAAAAAGCGCACGTGTGCAATCTGTGGTTTGTTACTCTTTTTGGATTTGCGCCCGTTTGTGGAAATTTGTGGCCGTTTTGTGGATTTTTGCGGCCGTTTTGCACTCACATTTCTGCGCGTAGGTTGGCATTGTACACAGCACGTGCATCGAAGAGTTCGATTTGCTTGCTGAAAACGTTCGATTTGCAAAGTCAATTACCATTGAAGGCCGGCTGGTCCTTCTTCTCCCCCTCATGATTGGCCTTAGCTGGCTGACCCAAAAAAGGGGCAACATGGGGCAATCCTTTCTCACTGAAACAGAAACCCCATTGAGCACTGTGAACCAATATGCGCAGGAAATAGGTCAGTTGAGGGGCGCATACATGGTGTAGTTCCTGCTTAAAAGCGTCCATCACAGGTACCCAGGCATCCGGCACTGCAAGTGACCGGGAACCACACAGGTACCAAAAGGATTGGGGTAACTTCGCATCGAACCACTGGTCCTCATGACAAGGATATTCAAAGAACAGCTCCTTGTCGGTTTTGCTTGCGTCCAAGGCATACTTGCGGCGAAGACCTTTCCGTTGAGGCTCGGTGCGGGATTGATAATATGCTTCAAGAAGTCTCTTGGCAAAGCCCGTTGGATATTCCCTAGGCCATTACAGAGTGTTCTTTAAGATGTTCTTGTGGATCATGCATGTAAGCACAAAAGGGTCGGACTCACTACTGCCAGATATCTAGGTTGATGGTGCGGCTCGTTTTTTAAGTGCAAACAAACCACTGTGACTGGCGAAGGGCCTTTGTGCCAACAAAGCGATTCCGACCTGATGAATCTTTGTAGCGACCTGAGCCCGTGACATGATCGGGCTGAGGGAGGGTAGAGGGCAACTCTTAACTCAATTGCGCTATAGAATCGAAGTGGAGCTGAGGGGCGGGTTGTTTTTTCTCCCGTCAGGGCTTCCCGCTTAGAGCGGCACAGTGTGCCCAAGTTCAAAGCTGAAATCAAGCGATCGTTTGACCAAGCGATCAAACGCTTTGGTGTCTTGGCACCTAGAAGTCCAAGCCAAAATGCCTGCCGAAAGACCTGGGCTTTTGATTTTCGATCTTGAACCTGTGCAACGTTCAAAAGGGAAACAGCTAGCAACTAGTGGTCAGCTAAGGGGCGAAAGCCACACGGTTTGTCAGGTACTCGAATCGATAGTGTTTGTAGATGAGGGACCCATGAGGGTTTTCAATCAAGAATATAGCTCGACGGGCTAGCACCAGCAAGCAGAGGAGAATGAGCCTGACATCTCAAAAAGGTAGGGGGGTTCACTTGAATCGTGCAAGACATTTGATAATGCATCCAGAAAGCTTTGAAACCATACAGTTTCCATTCTCTACAAACTTATAGGGAGCACCCTGGTAGTTATGAAATGCTCGTCGAGACGTTCCGCGGCTAGGGATCCCCCAGCTTCCACAATCTGGAGCCATTACATTCATTGCATTGGGCAGCTCCTGCATAATCACGAATACACAAAGCCTGGAGGAATCAGCGACGGGCCGAGAGCATATTTATTGGACATGTTCACGTGTTGGCATTCATGCTTCGGCCAGGCTGCACAAAACCAGCTGGCGAGAGGAAGTCCATAGATTCAGGCCGGGGGCCATCCGCTGAATAGGAGATGTCAAAGGAAGCGCAATTCAATCCACAGTTGTACCTAGGATGCAGTCTTTGCACAACAAACGGAAACTTAGCAGGATATCATGGCACTGTTGCACTTGCGCATACATTTCCTCAAAACGCATTCAAAATACCAGTGCTTCGTAGTGTTGGCAGCCCCACTGAAAATCTCAAAAAAATCATAAGGGCCTTTCCGTTCAAAGTCACACCACTGGAGAAGGAGCACCTAAGATCTAAAGGTTTGCCAATCTACTCTTATAAGCTGTCCAGTCCAGCGCTCCAGAACAAATCGAATAACTTGAGCCTCCCACTATTGCGACCAAGGTTTTGGGAGCCCCCATCTCCATCAAATTGAACACAGTGCTCGTGTCCAAAGACTCCATGGCGACTACATATGCAGCGCGTTCGATAGCTGATATATGATAGCCAGTTCACACACACACATTGTACACATGCACAAAGCAGCTCCAACAACCGGGAAGGGACAGAGTGATGGGACTGATAAAAACTGCATGCCAGAACGTGAAAGAGATTCCAAGAGAAGCTTGAAACAACAGCGCTTTGCCCTCACCAAGAACGCTCCAACATGAGAACTTTATAAAAGCATGCTGACTGATCATGCTCCGCTTGAAACTGCCAAACTACCTCAAAAACACCCGAGAACCCTGAATAAACGCGCTGCGCCTGAAAGTTTTGCGCGCGCCACCCAAATCGACATGCATCACCTGGCAAAGCAGTGACTAGTCACACATATATATATATATAATTATATTGTTATATATCGAGTATTTGCATAGCCATGAAGCCAAGCAAGCAACCACGGTGAAAGCTGCAGCTATGTGGATTGGGGTTGGCTCTTGCAGACCTAGATACTAAAAGAAGCCACTGCACGAAAAGAACATATGTTTCCGCCAGCGGCTCGTTGGTCATCGCCCTGCTCACGCAAGGTTTCCCCCACACAAACAGCTCCAAGGCACTCAGATCCTATTGCCTTGGTTCTGCCTCAACACACGATGCTTTTTAGCACCGTGCTAAGACCCCCAAATCTCACACACATGTTGTGCATGAGCCAAATGACCCGATCAGCTCGTAGATGCATAGGCCTGCCAGCCATATTGTCCAAACACGATTCAAAAGCTTTCCGTGAGATGCGGCAAAAACGAATTGTGGCCCAACGCGAATCTTAAGTACAAAAAAATAAATTAAGAACGATAAAGAACAGACATTGCACATGTCCAGCTCTTGACTAGCAACTGGCCCCCTTTGCAAGCCGCCTCGCTTCCTCATCGGTCTTCCCATCCAAGCGCGCCTTCCGCAAGGCCACGTGGTAAGCAGAAGACTTCCTGCTTTGTTTGCTTTTCTTCTTCTGTTCCTCCGACTCATCCAGCTTCCTTCGCCTGCTGTCAGCCCTCTGATTGCTGCCAGCTTCCTTCTTCTGAACTTTGGCTTTGGCATTTGCATCGGCACATTGCAGCTTTCGCTTATTCTCACCTGGATCCTCCGTTCTCTTTTTAGCTGCTGACTCCGTGCGGTCCTTGCCTTTCTTCTGCTTTGTTGGCGTATCTTCTTCCTCTTTTTTTTTGGAATCAGACTTCTTTGCTGCAGCTGTCTTTTTCTCTTTGCTTTTCTGGCCTTTGCCGTTTGCGCAGGCCTTGGCCTTCGCCTTGGCCTTAGCCTTTGCCTTTGGTTTTCTCCCGGCACCTTTTGTTTTGCTTGAGTCTGGTGCATCCTCTGCATCCTCACCTTGTGCTTCCTTATTGTTCTTGTTTTTCGACCTCTTCTTTGCCTCTTGCTTTGGTTGCTCTTTCGGCGCTACTGGCGCAAGTGAGTCCAGAATTTTTGGACGGTTGGGAGCACTTTCATTGACCTTTGTCTTCCCTTCGCACACTTCCTTAACTTCTTGCACCTTCTCCTTTGCCTCAACCTTCTTCCTCGCTTCCTCCTCCTTTGGACCCTCAACATTCTCCCTTGCTGCAGCCTCAACCTTCTCCCTCGCTTCCTCCTTTGCTCCCTCAACCTTCTTTTCGGCCTCAACCTTCTCCCTAGCTTCAT